GCAATACGTTAGCTTATTTTGATATATTATCTACTAATTTTTTTTATAGATACCTCAATATGAAGTTGATAAGATGAATGTAGAAACAAAATGAATTTATTTTCTCATAAAGTATAGAAATTCAGTTGAATAATTCAGCCATCGTTTTTGTATAATTAAAATAGTCTTTTTGTTGTTGTTGACAAATTACCATCAACTTGCGGAACATTGAAACTTGAAAGTTACAACTTGTAAAATTTATTGAATTCAAACTGACAAAGTAATCTACTAAGTCATTTGGTATTGTTTGGCTTGTATCTTCCCATTGAGGTTTTTAAGACTGCAGTTTATCAGTCTGTTATTGGCATATGTGTGTACTGTGTATATGCCTCGATATTACCTTAATTCACAAGCTTTTTGTAAGCAATGATGGATAGTGGTTAGCAGTGGAATCCAGGACGTGCGTTTCTTCCTCAATGGAAAGATACAAGCCAAACAATACCAAGTGAATTTAAATTCACCCCATTGCACAAGCACCTGGTTATTAGGACTCTGTAGCTAAGTGGATAACGCGATGGCGTTTGGAGCGAATGGTTCGAGTCCCAGAGTGAACATTAACTCTGAGATGCAGGTACATCCAGTTGATGAGTCCCAAATAGGACGAAAAAGTAATCTACTAATGATAATGACTGAAGAAATTAACATATATCACAATATAGATTATTGGATACCAATCACTTAGACCAATCAGATAGCTATGACTTTGAAAATTGAAGGTATATAATTCTATTTCATCATGGACTACATATACTCACTATTGTGAAAGTTTAAGTCAGATTTCTTATTTAATACTATATAAATTGTTAATGATTTCTCAGCTGATGTCACTTTATGTTTATATATTGTTTTCAAGTTAAACACATATCATATATTTATGTTACGTTTTAGATTCCAATTATATGAGTGTTTGATAATCGTTTAATATTATATATTTATTCACTTACTTATACAATGTTCTTTTTACAGTGTTCATTATCACTGTATTTCTAATTACAGAAAATCATTAAAACTAAATGTCTATTAAAGTAAGTTAGTATATTTGAAACCAAGAAGGAATTTAAGACTGAATGAATTTTCTTTTTGTAAAAATATAAAGCATTATACTATAATAATAATAATAATAAGTATTATTATTATTCAAAAGAATATATTAATCTTAATATGATTGATAACTTCAAACTGATGATAGACAGAGAAATAATTGAATCTACATAAACATATGCGAATCACATCAGCAATAATTAACTGTGGTTAATGTATATCTAAAATATATATATATACATATGAATCTTTATAAATATGAATAGATGATAAGAACAGAAAATATGAAAATGGGAAAAAACATACAATTTTATTAGTTTATATCGTAATTTGCAAACCTATGTTAAAAAACCTAATATGTTACGTATCAATGTGATTCGGGAAAAAAAGCTAGAAAATTTGCTAAATTTATATTGCTTCTTACAGTTGTGAGCTCTCGAGAACTTCACAAATAAACCTTCAGAAACTGGGGTTAATTCAAAGATACTTCGTTTAATCAGTAGTCAGTTGAAAATTCTGAAAAAAGGTTCTGGAAAAACGAAGGAATATGTGCGATAGGTCGATTAAATAATTGCCTAATTTAGTGTATTCTAGAAACTTTCAGGAAGTCAAGGTTTCCTGTAAACGCACAAGTATTCTCATTTTCTGTACATGAACTAACCCCGGAAAAAAAGCCATAATTCCATACTTTTACATACTTCTCATTTGCTGTCTATTGTTCTGGGCTCAAGTATAGCGGAATTTCGAGGAACTGAGTAATGTTCAGAAAACCAGACATAGAATGTATCACTTGTGAATACTTTTAACGCTGTTGTTTAAGTTAAACGTCTCCCGAAAATGATGTCAGCAATTTTATCGTATAATCCCACAAAGTTAAACCGGTTTATGGAAATAATTATTATGTACAATGTTAGCTTTCACAAATGTCTTTCATAAATTGGTATTCTTAAGAATACAGTTGAAAATCAGAAAACATTGAATTGTTATTTCATTCTCTTAAAATCAATACTTGTGTAATTCCAATAAAATTGGTGTTACGTAATATGATATAACATATTTTTTCAAGTTATGAGATGATTTTAACCAATTTTCTTTCAAAGATTCCTTTTAAATTACGAACTGAAATAATTTGGAAAAACTACTGAAGTCAGAAAATGTTTTGTTCATTGTTATGAACCTATCAGGAACATGTAGTTGCAACTACATAAAACACTGAACTCATTATGTACAGATCTCATTACCAATGTAATATAATTGAATCATTTATTCTAAATCCGACAGAACATTTAATAATTCGGTTTGTCATTCCTAGATAATGTCCTATGTAAGTTATTATATCGCGAGACTACAAATAAAGAGAATTCAGCGAGTGTTCTTTTTGACAAAATCATTTACTTAAGCTGTACATTCTTCTTCCTTCATGCTTGTTAGACAGAGATGGAAGTCCAAGATTGTCTAGAAATTTAATTGATAGAGACCTATGAAGATCAATTACATATAGAATTTATTTCATTTTATACAAATTGCATTCAGTGATTATTAATCTGAAAAAATCTTCAAAATGAACAATCATTACACAGAATTGATACATTTGACTATTATACCGGACGGAAGGTCAAGGGAATGAAAATCGTGGCTGGTTAATTAGTACAAATTAGTGTTAAGCTGAGGAGAAACTACACCTAACTAATTCACATGTTAAATGACCCGAAATTCTACTGAAGTAATAAGAAAGTGAATGAGGTAAGAGTATAGTGCGAGGATGATGTTGAGAGGTTCTAAAAAATACGCGGTAAATTTAACTCTTTTCTACCAATCAGAAAACAGCTTTTGTTTATGAGTGATTTGTTGCAAAGAACATTAATATTACAAAGGCTAGAAAAATTTTATATGGTTAGTGAATTTGTTGAAGTTCTATATTAATGTTTCTGTCTGTAAATTTAAAAGGATTTATGATGTTGTCCACGTTGATATAATTCATGTGACCTATGGAATCCTAGTACAGATGTAAGTAGTTCTTCACCGAACTCACAGTACACCTGTATTTTTGGTATACATGCCTGTTAACAGGTCCACTAAATGAGTTTTGTATGCAACAACCTAGTGATTGTATCTAAGTCTAGAGAGAAATTAATATACACTAAATTTATCCGTTTATACAGTCGCCCCACGTATAACAACTTTCTTAACTACAGGTACATGTATTTCGTTTTTTCCGGTTGCTCTTATTTTTCAAAGTGACTTTCAATGGTTATCTACCCCAACTACAGAAGGCCTACTACGATAAGAAAACATACTAATTACTCATTTCTCCTTTATACACTTTCCTTTATTATGTTTTTGCTTTGCGATGACTACCTAATAAATTTCTTTAATGTCTCCAATACTAACCAAGAAACTTTATGAGCCAAGGATATTCTTCGTCTATAGTTATATTATTGTACGGCAGTAACTTTAATTACATCCGCCATATCTGCTGAAATAGTTACCAAGTCACGTAAAAACCAATATATGAGGATTAGCACTATTTGTCTTAAAATTAGCACGAAACTCGGGTCCAGGGTTTCCTGTTGACTACCTCCAACCACCATCTAATCTCAATACATAGTGTCCACAGTGTCGAGTCACCTAGACTGGTGGCCACATTGCAACATGATCGATAGCATTCGATCTGCACTAATAAGGACTCGACACACATGACACTGATCACCACCCAGTGATCAATCAATTTTAATTGCGTAATTTTTTGTTACTAAACTGTATTTGACTACTTAACATCCTTGACATGTTATCAATAAGTTATTATTTCGAGGCAATTTACGTTACAACGTGTCGTCAGTATCCTGACTACTTCTATATTTAATGTGTTCTAGAATTAAGACGAAACATAACAATCGCTAATTTGTGTACATGTGACTTAATTTCGTCATGAAAGTCTATATTCGACTACTCAGAAATTTATTACTATTATTTTTGTAAATAATGATAGTGTGTGACTTATTTTATGCTATAAATACATTCATAAATAACATGATTTAATATGTGAATGTAAATCAATAAAGATAACGTTAAACTCAGTTAATATGTAGATTAATGAAATGGAAAGATAGATCATATAATTAATAGTAAATTCAAAGTACTTTAAGTTGTAAGTTGAAACTAACTTAACTTCTATTGAAAAATGTCTTTACTCTTTAACCTTGTAATAATATTTATCAACTAGTATTAATATGATCAAGTTATGCGTTACCCTTATTTATATGTGAATGTATGTGAGAAGAAAAAAATTGTAAAACACAATAACATTCCACAACATCAATAGATGGAGAAGACAGACACCTATCTAGCTCAATACGTAAACAATCTCCAAGTCACTACTAACTGTAGTGAATAAGAACACTAGTGGGGACAATCAAATGTATTTAACACAAAATTACAGGACTTGTTAATAAAATCTAACAGTCATAAAGTAAATACTTAATTTGCAAAATGTTCACCAATTGTCTCAAAACGACTCAGACTTCATTGTTCTTGCATTTTCATACAAATTGCATCTTGTTTCCATTCTTTACTGTTCAATCTTCTTGTCTCTCTGATGCCAGACCTTCTGTTCACGACTAACATCATAGACTACTTATGTCAATATAAGTAGCACACACCAGACTAACCACTTGACTATGTACAATGGATTATTTATTTTATCTAAAATTATAAATATTATTTAATCGTCTCTTATTCACATCTGGTTTACATCTAATAATAAAGTGAATTGTCATTATAGTTTTATTCCTTAGAATCTTCTTTTTACAATAAAAAATAATTTATATTCCAGTAAACGCTTTGTTTATTTATTATTATAAGTAACATCCTGATGACTAAATTCTCAATATGTTTTTTTGTACAGATTTTATTTTTTTTTTCAGGAGAAAAAAACATGTGTATCAACAAACAATTTTATTATTAGTATTATTAATTATCATTGATGCATAAAACAGTTGAATTCTAGTAAAATATGTGGTCTAAAATTAATCACTATCACTTCCCTATTATATATAGAGAATACAAATTTAAAATGTTATTGCAATATATATATATATATATATATTCACTTACCGAGTGTTAACTCTTGTTCTCCCCCACTTTTCTTACTTGGTTCTCTTTCTTCATCTTCCCTACCTTTACCATTATTATTATTATTATTATTATTATTATTATTATTATTATTATTATTAGTAGTAGTAGTAGTAGTAGTAGTATCATAGTAACAGTTTAGGTAAATAAACATGAAGAATAAATATGTAGAAGAGTAAAAGGAAATACAGAAACACAATAATGAATATTAGTTAATTTATTTATTCACTTCTTTTCTCTTCCTGTAAATTCTATGAATGACATATAACTAAACTATTTTTATATAGAGATATCAATTAATATTTGCTATTTGATATGAATATGTATTGTTAAAATAAAAGAATATATATAGTAATGTTAAACAGGTGTCATATCCTTACCTATCAACAGACAATTGAATGGTTTTCATTTTATATTTCTCTCTTAATGAATATTATTATTTACTCGTACTACATATAAAATGACACATCTGAATACATAAATGTACAACAATTTACACATGCATATTATAAATTGTAAACATAAGTTTATACCATAACATTTAAGGTTTTACTCATTTGTTTGTAAATATATTTATCGTTAGCTATTTGGTTAATTTTTTTTATTTCCTACACTGTAAACACCTATAAATAAAATATAGAGTTAATATGAAAGACCACAGATTGTATTCTATTTAGTCATTTACTAGATGTACTACTAATAATATCGATATTCGTGTTATTTTAAGATATTATTGTATTAAATAAAGTACGAGATTTCATTAGATTCACGAATTGTTCAAGGTCAGAAGACTATTAAAAACCTGGAGGGACTAATGAGCTGTTTAGACCTTGTTTGTGACTCATCAGAAGTGTTTATCCATGATATCATAGATAGAGGTCAAACCTGGAACATTCAGTATTGCATGTGAACGCCTAAGCGGAATCTACTGGTGCAAAGTTCAAATTTTGATTAATCCACGATAGTGTATGACCAAGTTGAAGTTAGTGCTTCTCCGATCTTTTTCCAATTGCTCTCAATAATATTTTTTGCTTCTTTGAGTAGATCTTTTAGGGTTTCGAACACAGTGTTGAGAGCCATCTTGAATTCGTTGAGTTTGTCGGTATTTCGACGAAGTCTTTATAAAGCTGTTTCTCCAGTTGCACAGTGTTTCTTTAGCATCAGTTTCATCTTGACAATCATCAGGTGGTGATCTAGAGCTATGTCAGCTCCTGTCTTCTTCCTCTTGTCTCCCGTTGATCTTCTGAAATTTTTAGTCATACAAATATGACCAGTCTTGTTTTGTGTAGTGTGATCTGGCAAAACTAATTTAGCATTCGATAGTGCAATAAGAAGATGAATGTTATTAGAACTACGTGATATATTTGCGCAATATATTTCGAACAATCTGATCACATATATACTTATTAAGAACATTAATATATAACAATGAAGGGTCAGCTAGACTAGAAATACATGGTCTTAATGAGTATATGTGTGATCAGATTGTTCGAAATGTATTGCGCTAATATGTCGCATAGTTCTGATAATCTTCTTATTACACTATCGAAACTTGTCAAAGGGACTGATTGCTTTAATTTAGCTTTGTGTATGCGCTTATGGTGGAACATTGTAGCACCTATAAACATTTTGTTGGATGAAGATAAATTTGCAAATCTGTCACCATTCTCGTTCATTCCTCACAGTCAGTCCATGTCGTCTCATCATATCTTCATAGCCGGTGTTGTTCATTCCGACTTCATCCTTTACGTCTACCATCACAATGCTTAGGTCCTTTTCTGAGCTCTTGTCTATGATCGATTGCAGCCTCTCCTATGACTGATCTTCATTGTCTTCATTGCTACCACTGGTTGGTGGATATTACTGGATAGCACTGACTGTGATCCATTCCTTCTTTGTTCTGAATAGTGTTTTGCTGATTCTGAATCGATGAGAGTCCCATCCTATAAGTGCTTTTCGTGTCTGTTTAAATGGCATCCGTGCAACTACCTGTTTATATGAGGCATATTGTTCTTTGTGATCAGAGTACAACAACATCTCACCCGAATCTAACCCTTTCTATCCAGCTTTGATCCAATGTATTTCACTCATTCCGAGCACCGTCAAGTTGTATGTTGTCATTTCCGTAGCTATTTGACTGGTCCATTTGTTCTTCCACATGGTCCGTACATTTCATATATCTGTATTAATTGTTGCGTTGGTTGTTGGAATTTGCATCAGTCTCGTGACTTCTGAAGAATCTCGACTTTCACTATGAAGCGTTATAATTCTTCTAAATGAAGATTGTTGAACTCTCAATGTAGAGTTTAAATGGGTTAATTATTTATTCTGGTTAGTGTTTTTTTGGCAGACTTGGGACCAACATTTAATCTAAAAGTGCTAAAGGTGGAGGTTGAGTCATATGTATATATGTAATTTCACTTATACCCATATTTTTACGGTCAATGTTATTGTTATTTCTATCGAATTTTATTAATCCTAATCATAATCAAATTTAGTAGATAAAATAAATTACTAGACAAGTTTTATTATAGAATTCTCTAAGATATTTTAATAAGGTGAAATGATTTATAAAGGGAGAGGAGAAATAGGCCAATATACTAATTAGTTGATTCCTATGGGTATATATAACAAGTGATTGATTAAGTAAGTTTATTTCTATATATTTAAGTAGAAAAACTTAGACTAATTAGTTTAATATGCATTATACAAAAAATTACCACATTTTCCCCTTTTTCTTTCAAGAAATTCAAACAAATGATGGGCTTTAAAAGATACCATTTTTTTCCTTAACTACACAGTACACTTCATAAACATATGCTATTTTGAATTATTAAAGAAACAAATAAAACTCTTTTATTCTCCAAATCAGACTAAATTAATTTTTTGTTAAAAACTCAGTGAAGAAATTATGTTCAATTAAGAGATTGTTAAAATTCCTAATTTTTCACTTTTAAATTTATCATCATGTATTTAATTGAATAATTAATCACATATAGATAGAGAATGACCGTTCTAAAGCAATTAGTCCCTTTGGCAAGTTTTGATAGTGTAATAAGAAGACGAAAATTATCAGAACTATGTGATATATTAGCGCAATACATTTCGAACAATCTGATCACACATAGACTTGTTAAGAACATTTATATATAAAAATAACAGGTCAACTAGACTGGAAATGGGGGAAAGTAGACAAGGATAATAGTAAGAGTAATAATAGTAATGTGAACATGATTTGAAACCTAATCACTCTAGATAATAAGCCAATATTACCAGGGCAGGTTTAAGGTGAGAACAAACTGTTTTTGAATACACAAAGGAGTTTTGGATTTTCGTATTGCTAAGGCTTTAATAAACCTTAGAATACGCCCTTTTACATTTTTATACAACACCACAAAAGCCGAGTTAACATCAATCATATGGCCTGTTTCGATTATATGTTTAGAAATAAAGGATGATGAATGTTTATCCACTACTCTGATTGGATCATTTGATTGCATTTGTTTCCGCAACCATTTTGGTATATGTTCAAACACCCTAATTTTAAGATCACGATTGCTCCTCCCTTCTGATAATCTTCGTCTTCTTATCACATTATCAAATAATTTTGTTACTAACATTGGGATAATTATGGGATTTTGAATAAAAATATTCTTAGATTTGTTGTTTATTATAGTGTTTCATTAAAAATGTCGGAATACCGTTTATTAGAAAGATGTCAATGTGAATATAATTTCTTATAACTACTATACGCTTTAAGAAGAGCTGAATAAAAGTGCCTAGGAGTGAAATCCAGTAGGCGCGTTTAGTCTTATTGGGTCTCGTCAGCTAGATGTACGTGCATACCTGTGCATACGCACAGTATGTACATGCGCCAATAAGCGACTAATCAGTTACAGTTCTAAGCATCAATGGGAAGATTCAAGTAAACAATACCAAGTGAATTTACTATACGTTTTGATAGATCTAAAAGTCTATATTGATGAACTTTTTAATAATACCTTCAAATAACAATATAATTTGTTATCAGAAGGGGTTTTGTGGAGATTTTTTAGAAATTTCACTGGTTGAAATCATGAATCAATTGAAGTTAGACCATCATGGAAAACCTGTCCAGTGCTTCCAAATTTTCCATAGTGGCCTAGCTTCAACTGACTTATGACATAATTCGTCGTTTGTTTTCTTTAATTTTAATGCTCATCTAAGACCCAATATACATACATTATCTAAATAGTAAGGCTTTTGACAATTTGATAGATTTAAAATGTTGTATGCTTACATAACTAGATTCATTATCGTAACTCTTCATTTACATTTACATTTACTACAATTGTGGATTATTTTAACATCAGACAATATATGTCTAGTTAAATTTATAAGTTAAATTTTATACTGATCACAAATATACATATAACAAACATAGGTAATGATTTAACATTCAGTTTCCGTCACAAGTATTATACATCATAAAACGGTTGGATGCCGGCTCAGTGGTCTAGTTGGTCAAGCGCCTGGCGCGAGACTGACAGGTCCTGGGTTCGGATCCCGCGAGGCGGGGTCGTGGATGCGCACTGCTGAGGAGTCTCACAATAGAACGGAACGGCCGTCCAGTGCTTCCAGGTTTTCCATGCTGGTCTAGTTTCAATTGACTCATGATCTCAACTGTTGTAATTACAACAATCTCCACAAAACCCTTTCTGATACATCATAAAACTGTTGATATTTTATTGTAAAGTTTTATTTAAAGAAATTACTATTATTTGTCATTTTTAATATTTGAACTGACATGTAGAAATATGATCTATGGATGAAAGAATTTTCATAATCATAAAATTGATTTTATCCTTAGTGATAATGGTTTAGTTGATGACTGTTTCGAAAACCAAACAGAGTAATATTGATATAATCGATAACCTTTTTTACTAGACAAAATGCATATGAATGTACTTTTATTCTTCATGACAGTAAATATGATTTAAATAATATTATTTAAATATTCAATTGTTATACAGTAATGAAATTATTGTGACATGAAAAACATGAAACTGTAAAAGATAGTCGATAGGATATCTACATGTCATAACTGTTTGACAAGCTTATTCATCTAGACTGTTATAAGTTATGTAGAAAATTCCATTGTATTATTTGCCATTCGAATGAAACTAATCTTAGTTTTCATTGACTTAAGAGAATATAGAATCTTCCACTCACATAAATCTAATATCCATTAAGATTTATGGATGAAACATTAAACTTAAATGTTGGAAACGAAGTTTTTAATTTAAATATGAAATACGGAAATATTATATTAATCCTGAAGTGTTGAAACTTTTTTTACATTCAAAGAAGGGCAGTATTAAATAAATAAATAAATAAATATATATATATATATATATATATATATATATATATATATATATATATATATATATATATATATATATATATATATATATAGTTACAAGTAATCAGTGAAACAAAAGTTCTTCTTAAGATG